TGGTCTGGAACCGAACCTGCAATATCTCCGAGGCATGCCTGTACTAAAATACGGGGCAGTAACAAAGGTACTGTACAGCCTTTGTGTAGATGCGCCCAATGACATCAAAAAGAAGCTTGATCTACATGACTAAATTTCTAGGTTGAAAGTTTCAGATATATACAGCATTTGTTTAGACTATGTATTTGGAAAGGGTTTAGAAACCAAGTCACTGGCTGGCTAGTTAACAGAAATCTCAAGATCTGTATTTGAGTCAGAAATAAATATCCTGGAATATCTAACTTTGTTAGACTTCCTTACAGTATGATCTTCTAAAAATTTCAGAAGAAGAACATACATGGAAGCCATGTAGCCAGTAGTGAGGATGATGATAAATTACCAGGAACATTGAACAACAATATATATGGACAGCCTAATTTAGATATGACCCATTTGTAAAGAGGAAAGTTCAACTCTACCAATGAAATACTTGGGCCAGTATGGTGATAGAGATATTTTGTCATTTGATAGAAACTGCTCTTCTAAACAGAACATTTACAACCACAAAATAGTTTACAGAAAGAAAACGAATTCAGGGGAAAAAAACAGGAAGAAAAGAAAATGTAGGGAAGACCAGAGACACTGCAAACAAAATGCTCTCTCTTAACCTCTCCTTAGTTTACATTTGAAAAGGATTCTGTTCTTTGTTATCAACACTTCAACTGAAGAAAAGCAGATTTGTCTGTCTAACATAAAGGGCACTGGCAAGTGTTAAACTTTCAAAGTGAACTGTTCAAAATTTCATTTTATAGATAAACCATTGTAAGACCAAGGGATCTTACTCTTTCTAAGGTTTTTATTCTTATCATTTTACCTTACTTACTGCTAGCCTAAAGTTTATTTTTGGACAATTCCAACTTTCAAAGATATAATAGGACAATTTTTTTTCTAGCATAATGCTATTGTCAATACTAGCAATCAGCAGTGAATTTGTTCCTCTGTAGTTTTGAAAGACTAATTTGCCACTGTACTACCCCAGGTTACACCTGAGGATCTCCACTGAAATCACAGGAGCAACAGAAGTGAGAAAACTGGAACATAGGTGACTCAGCTCCTCAACGTTTAATAACATATATACAAATATGTGACACCTAACAAAATTGCATACAAATGATTAAACAACCATATGGGTTGCATACTATTACACAGGCTGAAGTAGCACTGATAATACGTAAGGTATTGGTTAATATAATTATATACTTAAGCCAAAAATCATTTTGTAAGCAAACAATGGCATTAAAATATTTCACTAATACTGAACATGTGGCTATATTGCAAGTTGTTTGAGTTTTACTTCCAGTCACAGAATTAACAAATGTCTTTACAGTTTATACGTGAAGAAAATAAAATCTGACTTGACAAGTAAACTGTTCTTATGATTTATATAGGACTCGACATAATAATATATTACACAATTCCTTAAATTTTCTCACTACTATAACTTTATTTGTAGCTTATTCACATGAGAACCAAGATATAGCAAGTTTTGAACTGTAAGTCTATTTTTGGAATTTCTTTTCTGCCTTTTTCTTATTTGGAACTGAAAAGCCTCCTTCAGTGGCTAATACTTGATTGCTTCCAGTAACAGTTTACAATAACGTTTACAATGGCAGGCTAGCTTATATTCTTGTTTTGTATGTGACCTGGCTCAGTTACGAGACACAAGAGTTTTGGATCTGCAAGAGCAGCTTGAACCTTTTGCCTGTAAAACACTTTACATGATCGCTCACACAATTTTTCACTAAAAAAATATTTAACAAAAGGCAAATATAATCTTCCATTATGTCACCAATTTAACTATGTATGGCTATAACTCTTGGTCTAGAGTAGTACTGAGAAAAATCTGGCAAGACAATGGTGGGTATTTGTTCAGAAGGATTTGTTTATTCCATCACTTCCTTCAAACACATGTCCGTGTAAGCACTAGGACCCTACTCCTCCCTGTATGTGCTGTTTATTCTGTTCATGCTACCCTCAATCTCCTGCACTTAGTTTACACTGAAGACCTACAGAGGATTGACTGCAGGGACCCAGACTAGAAATAGGATTTAAAAAAATATTCCTCAGTTACTATAACCCCAAACTGACCTTTATGATACAATATTTATTTGAATAAACCAATTCCTTTGTGCATTCCAAAAAGTCCCTTTACGTCTCTTTCCAAACTTTGTATACTGTTGTCTTTTTTTTCTTTGGGATCCTTTCTTACTATTATCAGACACTATAAGAGCTGTCTGATGTGTAGAAGTAGAATCAGGCTCTTTTTTTAACCCTAACTCATGGTGCACAACTTTATGGAAAAATTCTAATCAATCTTCCCTACAATAAATTTACTAAAATAACCCCTTACTCCTGGGTGGACTGAATATTATCCATGTTATCAAAACTACAAAAACAGATTCCAAATATAAACTGCTCCTGCCAGTATCTTAACATGGGTGGAATATTTCAAATACAGTGTAAATTTCAGATTGTGCTGTATTGTTAATGAAATCAAATGCTTATCTCCCTAAGTATTCAAGACTTTGCTCGGAAAAATGTTTTCCAACATATCATTTAAAAATATGTGGGCCTTTTTTGAAATGTGACATTTTTCTACTGTCCTTGTTTAGGGACATAGGTTTGTTATATTTTACAGTTCATTAACTCTGTTATATTAGTGTCTGATTACTGAAATGAAACTCACCACACCATATGAATATGTATCGCATGTTTCAGATACTGGAAGGCTCTGGATAACTTCTGGGGCCATCCAAGGGAAGGTGCCCACTAAGGACATGTGCGTTGTATGGGAGTGAAACCTTGAGGCACCGAAATCACAGATCTGGCAAAGACAAACAATTAAATATCAACTTCTCATGTATTTGATAATCAAAGAGACTGGGCAGAGCAGATGCAAAACTATATAAATAATTAAAGCACTCCTACCTTTAATACTCCATCAGCAGCTATAACAACTGAAAATCAAGAGACAAATACAAAATGAAATCATGTCAGAAATAGGAATGCTACCTCTAGTTTATCAATATTTTGGTGGCAAAACATTTTATAAAGGAAAATGATCCTGCTCTGATCTAAGTCTTGAACATGCAAGCAGCCACATATTGGTTTTTGGAAAGGGTTTGGAGAATGTTTGAAAGTTTAAGAATAAATTCAAGGATCAAATTTAAAAATAAAATTACAAAAGAGGTCTATTAGTCATTAGAAATTTGAAGTTTTGCTTATTTTTAATAATAAAAACAACACAGCACATGCATATTTTTTTCATTATAATTAATGGTGCTAATTCATCCCTCCCTTAAACCTGCCCTAAATGACTTGGCATGCATGTAACTAGAACCATGATTTAACCACTGTAGATATCCATGTATAAATGTTAATCTCAAATAGTAGGAAAATAGTAAATGTTTGGGCTATTTTTAAATTCCATGGTGATTCTATTTAGCACATGAACTTTGAAATTACTCTCCTTAGCTTTTACACGAAATTATCACATACAGTAGAACCTACTTTTAGGCAATACTTTTAAAATTAAACTCTGCTTGCAGAAAAGTCCAGAATATTTCAATGGACTTTCAAGTCGTTTTACAACGAAGCTTCACCCTGCTCATAGTGAAGCTTCTATTCTAAGTGATCTGAACTAATTTTTAAATATTGGACTTCTTCAATATTTTCAGTAGGAAACGTGTAATGTCAGCCTGAAAGAGTTTTCCCTGCAACAATTTTTACTTTAGAAATATCAGGAACAGAAACTCCGGTCTTTACAAGTTTTGTTTTGGATCCTTGTAGCAAGATCACTGTGATCTCTTACACCTTGAGCAACCTTCAACCAGTGGTTCCCAAACTGTGGTATGTGTACCACACACACACACACACACACACACACACACACACACACACACACACACACACACACACACACACACACACACACACACACACACACACA